ACATGTAGATTCACTCTCTTCCGGTTGACCAAAGGTCAGTTTATTGACTAAGGTCAGCAAATTGAAAGGCTACATCTTTCTATATGAGCATCTAATGATGTGAAAACTTAAGTCTACCGCCTGCCTATTCAACTTGTTTCACGATAAGCAAACAAAATACAATAAAATCACGTCTTAGAACACCCATATAACTGATTAATTGGAGCAAACGCATTGATTTTCCTGCAACCAGAAATGTAATTTTGTCAACTTAGTTATACGGAACACACATGACTGTCCGACGCAAGGAGCTTTTCGTTTGTTCATTGATTCTGTTACGTGTATTTCTTACAATTAGATTTCCACTTGATAACCTCTTGACTTTGTTTGCTCACTGTGTAATTCGCGGTGTTTCGCGACAAATTGCATTATGTAATTCAGTAAAAGGCGGCTGTATTTACTGTTCTGACCCGCACCTCCTGTGGCTTAAATAGATTGGTATGTTGCAGATATAATTTTGATAATTGTTCTCAACGAAGTAACGGATTGGATGTAATAAATAACGTCATGGGTTAATTTGGTGAATTCTAAAAGCTAACTGAATTGGATGCTGAGCGATTTTTCTGTCAAAGGAAATGGAAAAACGAGGAAAATATGAGTGTTTTTTTATTAACATGAAAATAAAACATTAGTACCCTGGACAGTGTTATTGATTCTTCTTTTTTCAGTCTTTTATCTTAAAAAGGTCAATTTGTAAAAGCATCGTGAATGAACACATTTGACAACTGTATTGAGAGTGGCATTATCTACTTTATATAAAAACAGGAAGGAGCGACCTTATTGGTGAAAAAAAAACCGGATAAAAGGGTGTACTCCTGTACACGCAAAGAAGGTCGATTTTGACGTCGACATTTTGATATATCCGTATATTGACGTCACTCATGTCGTGCGCATCTCTTGCTCTAGCATAATAGAGGATGCAATTATGCATACAGCCGTATATCGTATTGAAAATGATAGCGGCCTTTTGGTTTTTGACAGTTTCCGATAATCACCCCTTGTTACGAAATCTCGATATGTGTTTTCTAATATCACTGAAAGGAAGAAGACTTTTGGTTTTCAATATTTCTTGATACTCTTCTTTTCTACAAAACCTTAATTTGAGTTGTCTATTTCAGTAATAAATCTCCCCAAAATGTATGCGGTCTATCCGCTCCCTTAAAAGTAAACATTCGATTGATTTTCAATATCCAGAGCTATTCCCTTGGCGCTTTAGATGCTTTAATTATGAACTGATCTTTTGAACATTTTTAGCTGTCGGCGATGTTTAGTTTCTTGACAACCTGTGAATGGTAAATAATTTATATTAATGACAAGTTCACATCCAGATACGTTTGAATCGTGCAGTCGTATGTACACGATTTAAAATTTCGATATAAATAATCCCCTAAAAATCCGAAAACAGTAAGATTGATTGTAACACTAATTTAGTGATAACAGAGATCAGTTTGGTACATATAGGGTTTATTTACACCGGAAAATAATATAACACATCTACATTCAAAACAATACAGGAACTTAAACTAATATACAGGAACTAGACTACGACATGAACATATCAGGTCGGTACATAACTATATTAAAGCCAGCATTCCGCCCCTCTGCCAAGGCAGCGGCTGAACTCGGATGAGTCCATGCATTCGTCCAAGCCTCTCTTCTCCTCCCCGCTCTGTATGTCTGTCAGTTAACTCCTGGTTATATCGCGCCGGAGAATAGATAAGACTCATGATCATAGATGCAAGTGTCTCTTTATCAAGTCATGGTATGCTTACTGGCCAGTGCATATTCCTTTGAAGTTACGTGGAGCTTGTACATAGGTCATGTAAATGACATATGGGATCAATTACATGTTTAATTAGACCATAGCCAGTTCGTGCCTTAACAGAAGTTTATACAGAGTTGAAACGTCAATATTATATACTAGCAGGATACCCGGCTTCGCTCGGGGGTCATAACTCCGAAACCGGAAGTGGTAGACTAACGCCACCTGGCCTATGTAACTCCCCGGTCCGAGCTACCCCTATACCCGAAATTTCAGACTCGGGGCAGACCTAGTGTAGCCGCCAACCCCGAACAGACAGACAGACAGACAAACGACAGTCACAAATATATAGATAGATTATCAAAAACCAGCTGAGGTCATAAAGTCCTAAGCACTTAAATGATCGTTCAATTTGATGAAAGTTATAGAGTACTTTGTCACATCATTTAAATATTAAAGAAGTTAAGTGGTGGCAAATAGATCCCATTATGTGAAATCATTTCTACACATCAACTTGGAGGTCGTGTTTTAAGCCAGGGGGTTCAATTTCTATTGATCTTACGTATACCTTCACGCCCTTTACAAGACGCTGGCACTGTTCAGTACTCAACAGTACAGTGATTTCGTCCAATATATAATCAAACTTTGCATCTCCATCGACTGGAAATCCTCTTACTGCAGATTATTCTGCACAATCAATGCGACGCCCTAATGACTATTGATTGATCTGAAAATCGAAGAAAAGGAACGTAGTGTGTAGCCTAAAATCCTTATTACAAAGAGAAAAAGAAGAATTATATAATAAGAAAGCAGATTTAATCTGACAAATTGTAAGATGTGTGTGAAAACATAAGCAACCATGTACGATATTATTAAGTCGTTATCCATGCAATCTTTCAGTATGTTTTCACACACATCTTACAATTTGTGAAAGATTCCATCGATTACGACTGAATAATATTGTACATGGTTGCTTATATATTATTCTGTGATAATGTGACGCAAAATGTAGACTTAACATCCAGACGGCTGGGTTATGTCAATATATTGATACACTGCTACATAATCTAGTATCAGTCGATAAGAACCAAACATATAAAATTCTAATTCTGCACCCGTGGTGCGATCATTTAAAAATTACAAAGATTGCCGAGTCATCCAGTGTCTCGCCTCTATTCGACGACCTTTTTTTGCGGTCAGGTTCTTGAAATCATTCCACTGTGCCCAAAACACAATTTACATTATTTGCATAAAACAACAGAAAAAAAAGATATATTTCTATACATGAGGTTAATAGGCATTCGGGTGGTATTCTTAAGACAGTAATCTAGACTATTCAATCAGAAAAATAGGTCACGTTCCTTTGTTCATCTCGATACTCTTGGATCAAAACATTTCTTCAGCAGTGGACAAACTTTCTAAGACAGAGAAGGATGCGGTCATGAAATCAATAGAAAGTAATGGTATATATAGATGGCCAAAACCTACGTTTATAGGACTACTAAAAATCATAGTCTCGATTATCCAGAAAACACACAGATTTGTCTATGGTCTACATTTTTATTTATTCAAATCTCAGTTGAAAAATGGCGTCTGTGAAAAGAAAGGACATAGCGAATTTAGAATTTCTATAGACAATACATGCACGGTAATTAAGTTTAGTCAGTCGACATCTGCGTTCGTTGGGATTTAATTTGTTCGCCTTGTGTCGCTTCTATTTTCCGGCGTCTGACTTGAAACAATCTGTTCACAAATAAAACAATAGGGTCTAGTATTCTTCATATTCTATAAGACAGATGTACATATGTATATGTTATATGTGCACAGCCTGGAGTCTAGACAGTCGTATATTTACGTTTATATCACCGTTCACGCAATAACAGTATTCAAGAAAGAGACAATACATTCAATGAGACCTTTTATCAAATACAAAAGAAGGGGCACGTTGACTGAGTGGACTACTCAAATAAATAGTAAAGATATATAATTGAGCTTGAAGAAAAATTACGCAAACAGCCTTTAGTTCAACATTCTTCCTGAATTTAAATTGATTTAGGGACATACATATATATGAAAATAATTTTGTAGGTAACTGCTGCGCCGATTTAATTCATTTAAATATTAATTAAAAACCACCGTCCTTTTTTAATATAAATAAATAAATAATTTTCTTTATTTAATGCATACCCCATTAATATAATTTTATAATTTGTACATCTATTTATAATTGTTGAAGTGTTATTCTGGTGTGGTTAAATAGACTAGTTTTTAGTGGGGGACTTGGAATTTTATAGTTAGAAACCACCACAGAATGTAATCATCGATGATCTGGCAGTGTAAGGGAAATAACTCTATTTTTGGCTTCACACTTCTGGGTGGAGACCACCAACTAATCTCCGAAAGATTCTTGTCAATTTACCCGGCTACAACTTTTCTCCAAATTTCGTTGGATTGAAGACTCCCCAACCAATCATGGGGCACCATCAAGCAATGACAAGCTTCAAAGCATATACAAGGTTGACTATGGAAGCAGCATACAAGTAAACACATAAATAACCTCTTAGCTCTAAACGTGAATATTTGTCAAACTGTGGGAGAAAATGTCAATTCATTCTCTCTTTATTAGATTCTAAACAAAGGTGAAATAAAAAAACAGGGAGATAGGGGTAAAAATAGAAGGAACCATATTCTTGGCTACCGAATTCAAGGAAGTTATTTGCCTCAACCTCCCTGAATTTGCAAATGTCTTCCTTCTGCACATCGGTGTGTAGTGGATTTTAGATACATTATCAGATGAATTAGAGGTATTTTTCTTCTCCAGGACAAATGAATCGGTAGGCTGTTGACCCTAGCAAGATTTACTCATATCCACCATTACTTCAACTCATATCACAATAATTTATATCGGCATTTAATAACAATAAACGTTCTTTATGTCAAATTGTCATTCTTAAATGTAGTGTTTTTATGTCAAAAATGCACCTCAAAATGTAATTTCCAAGCAAGATTTTTTTGTGTTATACATGAGTCATGTCCCTTGGTAACAACTTTCAAACTTGCTTGGAAATCCCATTATGATGGGATTTTTGACATAAAAATGCTACGATTTTAATTAAAAATAACCATTTGCCAATATCAAGAACTGATGCACATCCAAATAACAAAAAAAAACAACACATAACAATAACAATTCTGTAAATTAAATACATAATTATATTCTTACATTTACATAATATGTATATGATAATTATATGGTTAAACAATGGAAACAAATAATAAATATACATAAATATAAGCATAACAAATAATACTGATATACACAGGTCACAATTCACAATTACTGTTTATTACTGTTATACACCCACTATTATATGGCAAATGTTCTATGAATGGCTATTATTCTAAGAAGGAAAGAAAGCTGCTACATTTAACTTAAAGCAGCTAAATCTCTAGCTCAATATCATCCAAAGTCTTCCACATTGAAAACACAAATTATTTTTCAATTTAAATCAACACTGATGTGATCGTATCACGAAAAGATGGAATTCTGGTATAAAATATTTAAGACAAAAAAACATTTTACGAATCATGTACCATAATGTGTTTCAGCCCCATTTGTAACCAGGGACTCAAAAAACAGGGCTAGACATTTCCACAAGACATGTCGAATGGTGACCTCATATTCTTACTTGGAGAGCATGCGCAATAAATACTATCAGTGTAGACTGGAATAACCAGATGCTAGAGATTGCCATTCAATTGAGACTTCTGGTGTATTTCGCCGAACATAACTGATTTGAAATTAGAGTAAAAACGGAAACGATTGAATGCGATTCAGTTTATATACATTCATATTACGTCATTATATGCGTTGCGACCCATTTGTGTTAATTTCTAGGTTCAAAATATTAGTGATTTCGCTCCTTTAATTCGGCTAATTAATTTTATTCCCTATGTATTATTATATAAATATAATCTATATGGTCTTCCTAATATAATCCTTAAACAATTTATATAAAGAGGCCAGAATAATTGTATTTCCTGAACATAATCCTTTTATAATTTATATGGACAATTAACAGGTTTTTTGGCTGTTTAGTTTATTTTACTTTGTTAATACACCTGAATAAAACATTCTTTTTAAAGAATGGATGTACAAATATTTAATGGTTTTAATGTGACTAGCACTTTCTCATATAAAGAGACTACAATATTCTGTAGTTTACTGAATTTCAATTAAAGATATTGATATCAATACAATTAATATACAATACAACCTTTAGTACATTTACACAAAAAAAAGGTTAGACTTACAAATATTATAGATGGCCAAAAACAAAAAAGATTGGACTTACAAAACGTATCTTAGAATTAAAAATCGTTACGAAATGATGTAATGGATCCTGAAGATGGCCTGTGGTTACAGCAAATTCCAAATGACCATACATGTACATGTAAATATGTCAAAAATGCTCAATTTGAACAGTTTATGGTTTTTTTTATACATATAGTTTTGGTGAACATGATTTGGCCTTAGACTCTGTAATTATTTTTAATTCTTTCACATGCTAAGGTTTTAAAACCAGTTTAAACCACAGAACATAACAACAATATTTAAACTACAGCAGTAGAGTACATACTAGCCTAATAATGCTAATAATCTCCATACAAACAGTACTAGTGTCATAGTTTGACTGGCTTCCCAAGTTTGGCACGGTCATCAGCCCTGCACCTTCCTGTTAGATGTCTATTTGATTCCGTTTTCACAAGGAACATACTTCACTTTTAACTCAATCTGCTAATAATGAGCTTTTCAAAAACCCAATTGTTTATAATTAGTATAAATCATTGATTTGATGTACCGATATTTATTTACCTATTCATGTATTTTATTTACCTATGTGTGTGTATAATTTCCTGAAAATAAACCTCAAAGCTAAGGTGGCCATTTTGTCAACTAATATAAGATATCTATGGAGCTGAACCGGGTACAGACTCAAACTGTGACATCAGTATAATACAGTACCCGTTTGAATTAGTACTCATAATGAAATGTAGAATATGATAAATGTACAAGCAAGTATACACTGTAAAAATTGATCCAAATTTTTATGGTAAGCAATGTATCTATATATAATGGTAAGTATTACAACAAAAACATAAATTTATAATATAAGTTTGTAAGAAGGAAGAACAGCCCTTGATCCTTTTCTAATCTCTTCTTTGATCTTCATACAAACTTATGACATTTACAATAGTGTGATTCTTAGACTAATTGCCAGAAAAAGATCTAAGAGAAAATGGTATTTGAACTTTTAATAGATTATGTTACATACAAGTACAAGTTATGATTCACAAAATATCTAACCATTATTCTACAGAATGAAAAAATTGCACACTTTTACTCTTATTTGACTTGAGTAAAAAGAATTGTTTTGCGAGGTGAGTATGGGTCTAAATGAAATGGGGTTTAACGTCCTACTGTTTTGCTCCGAACGAGTATGGGTCTACATTACAATTTTAAATACAGTACTCAGATAGCACTAATGTTAAAATATAACAGTTTTGTGTCCAAAAGTCGAAAGTTTAAGCCACAAACGAAACGAAAATTACCAAACAAACTGACTTCTGCGTAATCATGTAACCACTGCTTCAGGAATCTGTAATCACAAAGGCAAAAATACAAAAAAGTTCAAAAAAACACATTGTACTTTACTCCACAGATAGCACTATATTTATTAAGCCATATTTTTATCTCAGAACTTAATTTACTGAAATTCTTTGAGTTTACAGGTTATTTCAGTATACAATCATTTACCATATGTTGTGTACCTTGTTACACTATGCACAAGCACATTATCTTAATGTAATTCACACGGATTACAATGTCTTCCCATGTTTACATACAACATGTAACTATACAATTGATGGAAATATGCCAATCCATATAGTAAGTTTGTTCACTTTCATTTAAAATTACACTATAGTTTCATTAAGATGCCTTAAAATAGTTTTAAACGTCCTTCATAAAGACTTTATTTATATAAGCATCTCTTTTTCGACAGACTGACTCATCCCTAACTGTTTTTGTTGTAGTAAACGAATCTGCAACTTTACACTTAAACATATCATTCTTTCCTCGTGGATTTTTTGACAAAACTCAGAATTTTTCTTTTCCAGTCTTTCATTTTCTATGATAAGTTGATGAAGTATTTCTTCAAGATCTTCATCATCATCACTGTCATAACTGCTGTCTGAAGAGGAACTCACATCCTCCAGATCTGAATCATGTCGAAGGTACTGAAGTTCTTGAATCTCTTGGTGAAGACGCTCAATTTCTTTCTCCTCAGTTTCAATTTTTTGATGAAGTTCATCACCGATTACAAGAAGTTCTTCCTGTTCTAATTTCAAAGCATATTCTTCTTGTAAAAGCTGCTGATACTCTTCATCATTTTCATTTCCAGATTGTTCTTCAGATTCTTCTTTGTCTTTATTTTCACTTTCTGCGTCTTCTAAATCCTCCTCTTCCTGTTTGTATCCCATCAGCTCTCTTTCTAATGCCCTTAACTCTTCTCTCCTTTTCTTCTTTCTATCTTCATCAGACGTATCTTCTGGCTTCTTGGGTACTACAGGTGCAGCTTTTATGGGCTTCAAAGGTTCATGAATGCTAGTTTGTGTGGCTAACTGATGCTTAGCTGCAGGTTTAACTGTGGGTGGCTTGTCTTCTTTAATGACTACTCTCTTTTTTGTTTCTTTAACTTCCTCTTTAACAATATTTGGTTTCTTCACAACTTCTTCTTTCAATGGTTCTGCTTCTTTGGCAACTGGATTTGATTCTTCTTTTTTCAGATTATCTACTTCTTTACTCACAATAGTCCTAACTTCTTCTTGCTCTTCAACAGATTCCTCAACTTGTTTTTCAGCATCATCAACCTCTTTTTTCATCTCTGCTGAATTGGTTTTTGTTTCCTTAATTTCTTCTTTCTCCTCATCAACAGGATTTTCAGGAGGTTCAGGTGCTTCAACTTCATCATCTTCCACCTTAAGAGTAACTTTCTTCTTTTCCTCCTTTGGAATAGTTTTACTTTCCATTTCCTCAGCATCAATTGAATTGGTAGCTATCATCTTCTGCTCTAAATCTTTCCTTCTTTTTTCTGCTGCTTCAACAGCCTTTGTCGCAAACTTTATCTTCCGTTTCAGCTGAGTCACTACTCTTTGGACCTCCCAAAGCTGTTCCTCCTTGTTAGCATCTGCCTTTCCAGCATTTATCTCAGTGTGAAGTTGATTCAATAGGGATTCCTGCTTAGCTAGTTCTTCTTCTAAGGCAGTAGGATTATCTGGTAATTCTAGTGACCAGCGAGAGGTGGCGGGTTTTAATGGCGGCACATATTTCTTGATCTGTGTATCATGAAACAATTGTGAACAATGAGAGAAGAGAACATTCAGAACCCTGTGGCTTATTTGCATTGTAGGACTGAGAACAATGGAAACATTTTGAAGTGTCATTTTGTTTTTCTTTTGATGATGTATAATGTGTGCCATATGAACAATCATCCACGACAGAAGTAGTCGGTTACATGTCGGAAGATCTGATATTAATTTTGAAAACTGTTCCACAAGTTTTCCAGAATTCCTGATTGTAGAAGCCTCTTCAAATTTACTCATTAATGCTGTAGTTAGGACTGGTTCTGGGAGATCTCTAAGAAACATCTTCAGGAGACTAGCAACAATATTTGGTTCATGTTCTTCAAGATAAGCTGGAAAACCTTTGTTATAGCAGTCCTTCAGATGTTGAACCTTTGATTTGACACCAGATATACGATAAATTCCTTCACATTCCAAACCATGTTCTTCAATATAGTCAATACATTCACGAAATATAGCAGGAAGCTCAATACCATCATGCGATTTATTCCTCTCCACAGCTTCTTCCAAAGGTACCCCAAAAACTGGCTGAACTTCATCATCATCTAAGAGTTCAGTTGTACGGACAATCTGCACACGCTTTGACTTCTTCTTTTCCTTCCTTTTTTTCTTTTCTTCCTTTTTTGATTCTTTATCTTTTTTTTCATCCTTCGCTTTGGGGAAAATGTTTTTACTAGCAGGAAACTTAAAGCCAGCTTTGCCTCTTTTACCTTTATTTGGACTCTTCACATCATCCACTTCTCGGTCAGATTCCTCTTCCTCAAATACTACATAGCCTTTCTCTTTCTTATCTCGCTTTCCGTCCTTCTTTTTGCCATCTTTCTTTTTACTTTCTTCAGCTACTTGAAAAGCCTTCTCACTATCCTGGCTGTCAAAACTCATCCTTACCAGTTCCAATTACCCAACAATACTTGAATCCTAATTCCTGAAAAGAGAAATACAACAAGAACTAAGAAATATGAATCAAAGAATGGAACAACCTATTGTTCACACGAACTAGGCTAATGAAGACAGGTACACTACATGCAGTGTATTATGAGGACAATTTTGCCGGGAAGCGGTTTCTACTGTCTGTGGTTCCTTTATGTGCATGTCATGAACCTTTGCTGACATGGACCACTGAAAAGGGAACGCCATTCTTTTCGGTTATAACATTTCTTTAGTTCTGAAAAATTTTACTTTTTGTTCTTTATGCTGGTTTTTAAAGATATAAATATAAAGAATATGGGAACCCTTCGGTGTATAGCCATTCGTTGCAAAAGTTCTTAAGTGTGAATCCATTTAGATATAAAGGGAACATCCGCACAATTTCAGTTAAGCCTGATGAGTTTGAAATGAACGAAACTAGTCGCTTAATGTGAGAAATCTGGGACAGCTACTTGCCACTCATAGATTTGTGATTTTGCCAGTTTTTAAAGAGATTTTCCATTTCATAAGCTATTGTGTTTAATATTGTGTAAAATCATGACATAAACATAGAAATAAAACCGTTGCAATTTTCATGAGAACAGTTAAACTAAACTGACCTAAAAATCACAAAATGATTTCTGTTTAAAATTCTTCTTTACAATCCAACAATGCAGATTAGTTTTTCTGTTATTATACTAAAGGGAAGGGGGATTAAAAGATTTAGAATGACATTTAAACGACATTGTTAAATAACTGTTTACTAAGTATCAAATGGGATGCTTTTATGCAGATCTGGTTTAATATCTAATTAAAAACTTTGAAAAAATATACGTTTAAGATTCAGGAATAAGACATATTTGTTTTCTACAATAACCAGCAGCTGCCAGGCAGGATACGCCCACATTATGCAAGAGATGGATAGAGAACAAGCTAAAAACAAACAGGATTTTATGTATAATCAGGGGCAATAATCAGGAAAGTTATAGTCTGAAATGCGCAAATATCAAAAGAGACTAAGATCTCGGGATATAAAGATATGTTTTAAGTTTCATCAAAATCTGATAAAAATTGTGACCTCTAGAGGGTCCACAACCTTCATATTGCATACCTTTACACAATTTGCGTACAAAGAGCGGCCATTTTGTCAGGCAGTTTCAGTTTGAATTTCCTGAAATTCGAATTCAACCTTCATTTTGGTGGAATGGTGATATATTTAAACAGTTTTTAAAATCGGAAAAAACAAATTTCATAAAAATCAGATCAAAATTGTGACCTCTAGAGGGTCCACAACTTTGATATACCAGATGTTATATACTATTTGCGTACGAGGGGCGGCCATTTTGTTTGACAGTTTTGGTCCGATTTTCATGAAATTTGAACTCAACTAAAATTACGATGTAACAGTAATATATTTGAACGTTTTTTTTTTTAAATCGGATAATAATTTTTCGTACAATCAGGGGGCCATAATTCAGGAAGTTATGATCCGATATACCGGAATATCGAAAGGAACCAAGATCTTTGGGTTATAAACTTACATTTCAAGGTTCATCAAAATCAGATGAAAATTGTGACCTCTAGAGGGTCCACCACATTGATATACTATATTTTTACGCTATTTGAGTACATGGGGCGGCCATTTTGTAGGTCAGTTTTGGTCCAGCTTTTACAAAATTCGAACTAAACCATCCTTAGGGTGTAATGGTGATATACATGTATTCAAACGTTTTTTTTTAAATCGGATAAAAATTATGACCTCTATTCAGAAAGTTATGGTCTGATATGCGCGAATAACGAAAAGAACCAAGATCCTGTCAGTTTTGGTTTGATTTTTACGAAATTTGAACTCAACCATCCTTAGGGTGTAACGGTGATATATTCAAACCTTTTTTTAAATCGGATAAAAATTATGACCTCTATAGGGTCCACAAATTAAAAACGCGAACTCGACCATCCTTAGGGTGTAACGGTGATATATCAAACAGGTTTTTTTAAATCAGATAAAAACTATGACCTCTATAGGGTCTACAAGCCAAAAACACGATTTTTCGTACAATCAGGGGCCATAATTCAGGGAGTTTCAGTCCGATATGTGCGAATATCAAAAGGAAACGTGATCTTTGGGTTATAAACTTACATTTCAAGTTTCAACAAAATCGGATAAAAATTGTGACCTCTATAGGGTCCACAAGCTAAAAACATGATTTTGCGTACAATCAGGGGCCATAATCAATGAAGTTACGGTCTGATACATGCCAATAGCGAAAGGAACTGAGATCTTAGGGAGATAAACCTATATTTCAAGTTTTGTTCAGATAAAAATTGTGACCTGTAGAGTGTCCACAAACAATTGTGGACGGATGTCCGGACGGACAGGGGCGACGACAATATACATCCACATGAAAATGTGGGCGTATAAAAATGTAAGATTAGAAATTCTGCAACATGGGCATTATGTACACAGTTGGAGGAGCCTGGTGGCTCAGTGTGTATTCCAAAATAAAATGGGTTTAACATCTTCATGTTCTGCACCAGCCGTCTAATGATGACAGACATTTTACATGATGCGTAATATGAGTCCGACTCTTATTTCAATATCTATTTTAATTCATTATTATTATTGCCCTGGTCCATTAATTGGTTCAATTCTGGTGTTGGCGAGAAAGTTCCCCAGGATTTTCTAGATGGTTTCCCCTTGTTAAAGGTGCATGACAGAGGGCCCAGGTTCTCGTCCTTCAGATGTGTACTATTTGGCATGCACATGATATGGTCAAGATATTTTCAGAAATATATTACAAGAAGCCTATACTAGTGAAGTTATACATGCATGTTAAGGTTTCATGTCAGTTCAAACAGAGCTAATATAAAGATTGTAGAAATGAAATGGGGTTTTATGTCCTATTTTTCAGCAACATCCGTGTTAACGAAGACGGACATATGCCCGTTGGTATACTAATACTATGAGAGAGATTTTTCCTGGATACCAGCACTACGACCTACTCTTATTTTGAAATCCAATTGTCAACCTTAACAGCCCATAGTTTTGTCATGGGTGTTTGCATATGGGAGGACACAGACTTGGGACGTAAAAAGTGGCAAAATTTGTGGGCAACTTTCCATAGTTTTTCACTTTTTTTGATAGTTTATAAGGATATAAGTAAACGGCTACTCGGTTAACCGGTCATGGTTCGGTTGCACTGGTGAACCAGTTCAAAAAATTACTAACTGATATTCGTTTTCATATCATACCTGACCTTCAAACCCAGGAATGGTAGCCACAACTTTGTTTTCTTTCACTAAAGACACATAAATACTTCAAATAGCACTTGTCATGTAATAACATCTTTAAATTCATGCTCGAAGTTTTGTATAAGTTATTATCACTTGCTGTCAAGTATTAAATAGCCTTGACTGATTGACAAATTAATTGTTTTACAGTATTTATTCACCTCATCACTCCATAAACAAAGTTTTAATAGGAAACAAGTTTGATGTGATGAAATAATATTAAAATAGACAGGATATAATAGTAAAATTGTTTATATTATCACTCGAGCGTGGGATGCTAATGGGATCAAAGTTGACAGCATACGGGTCACCGGTACCATACAGAATCGCTTGTGAAAGGAACACATGAAGCAAATTCTTTGAAATTAGCTGAATGTAAAATAATCAAACTTATTTTGTATTCGAAAATCCAAAGGTATGCTTTCAAATATTTAAGTCATAACTAATCTTATAAAGTATTAGGGAGGCTTTTATTTTTTTTAAATCAACCAGTTTTCAGCTAGTCTCTACCTGACCTGTCAAATCAGCCTACCACGCAACATGGAGAAATGAAACATTAAGAATGAATGAATGAATGGAATATGTACTGACGGTTAACTTGAAAGCTGTAATATTGATAATTCAAACATGTATCACCAATGAAGACGGGCATATGCAGTGTGATACGAGGGAAATTTTGCCCTGACAGCAGCGCTACAGCCTACTCTTATCGAATTCCAACTGCCATGAGATCTTTTACGTGTTCATAAATTTTCATTCCATCCGAAAGACTAGACAGCTGTCCTTATCAGGCACTCAATCCTGCACCGCTGAAAAGGGGAAACCATGCAAGAAAACCCCGATGAACTTGCAACCTCCAGGCAGGCTTGGGAAAGAGCCTGACACTTCGTCATCAGAACTTCAAAAATCTTCCATGTCTAATTCAAAGTATTGCCGTTGATTTAATTTAAAACAAAAACAAATATTTGAAAGAATTAGTTGGATGAAATACAAAACTTGCAAGAAACTAAATCTAGTTCGTCTTCATTTTAAGTTTTCGACTGGTTCAAGTCGTTGATAAATAAAGCAGAAAGTTGAGAAAGGAAAGACTCAAAGAGTAAAAAAAGAGGCCGTCTCTGGCGAAGTCCTGAGCTGATCAACTTACATCAGTAAAGTACAATCGTAATTTTTCATGCAATTAGACTTTTGCTTATAATTAAGCTACTTACCAAAAACAAATTCGCATATTAGGTTATTTAGAAAAATTACACATTTTTCAGAATAATTATTTTCCCTTCTTATTTACAATCAATAATCTGACTCATCTTGAAGGAAATCGTGCTATGGGAGATAACCCGTTTTACGTCTGTAGACGGGAATAACCAGTATTCAAATTAAATGCCAACATATGGGTCGAAATAGGCCAAAAATAGGTAATCGTATGAATGTGCCAACATAAAATATTGAGCCGTTCGAAATCATCGCCAACTTTGCTCATTGTTACTTGCTGAAAACCGCCCTGTATGATAATCTAGGGGCGGATAAAGCAATTTTGAAATTGTTAGGTGCAAAAGAGCACACTGATCCGCAGTGAATATTCGCTAGGCCGCGACAATCACCGATAAGGATGACATCGATGCGACTTAATGAGCCACAAATATTAACTATTTTCCTCCAACAAATTAAATTCTAAAACATTTTTTTTTATGTATTAGAAAAATAATTAAAGACGTTTGAAGTATTTGTAGG